TATTATCCTCCTGGTAATCTTGCAAAGCAGGAGTTAATATTTCAGTGATCTAGATGAGGATACTGAGATTCAGAGACAGGTAAGGAGGGTGCTGATGGTCACACAGCTAGCAAGTGGCACACCTAGAGTGTGAACACAGCGCTGTCTGGTTTTCTGACTTGCCGCATACTAAATAGTGCTTAAAGGTTTAACTGGTGCAGCTGTTGGCAGAAGACTGGGATCTTCTGGGTTGTGTTCTTCACTAAATGTGATCCTAATCCTTCTAAACTTTAGCTATAGCCATGAGGAAGGAAGTTGGGGAAACATCCCCCCATGTTTGAGAGATAGCTTTGTTACCTGGATAGGAAGTTATGAGATCGCATGTCAAGCCCCAGTCCTTCCTTGGATTTCCCGTGTGTCCTTGAAACATTTAACCTCCATGAGAAACAATTACTCTTATGTCATCTAAGAAGAGCAGACCAAGTGTTCTCCAGCGTCTCTTTCAGTCAGCTTTTTTTCGAGTATCTTGTACATAGAGGAAAGAGCATAAGTCATAAGTTCATGGCTTGATGGAATAATTGTCACAAAGTAGACACACCTATGTAACAGCACTCAGATTAACAGAAAATTACCAGCACCCAAAAACCATCTTCTTCTAATGCTCCTAGGAATAACTGATTTCCTGATTTCTGATGCTATTGATCAGTTTTGCCTATTTTTAAAATTTATGAAAATAGAATCATACAATATATATTCTTTTGTGTCTGGCCTATTTTGCTTATTATGTTTGTGGAATTCAACTATGATATTGCACATAGTTTAATTTTTTCATTTTCCTTACTATTATTTAATTGTTCATCTCTTTTACGGTTGCTAGACATTTAGATAGTTTTCAGTTTGGATGTATTACAAATAGTGCTCCAATGAATATTTTCGTGCATATGTTTTGGTGAAGATTGTATTTTGTTTGTTCATGGACCACTCAGCAATTTAGATTTTGCAGCTCTGTGGAGTGATGTTGAAGTCAACCTCTTTGAAAGCAGACAAGTTGATTTTAGGTAGCCTCTTGGGTGTGTGGCCCCCTGGAAGCCCTCTCTGATGTGTATGTAATGTGGTAAGGCTTGCTCCCCTGCTGGAGAAGAGCTTTGGTTGGGCATAGAAAAGGACTGCAGAGAGGAAGAGAAAATATATCCAGAAGAGAGAGGTGTCTGAGTCTGGGCTCCCCTAGAAAAGATTAGGATATCTCACCAGCCAGAGCAAGAGCCTGAAAAAGTGACAACCCAAGGGGTTATTAATATTCCAAACTTATAGGTTTGCTGTGACAATTTAGTGCAATAGTGTCAGCAGTGTGCTTTTGGGCACATTGGACTGGCACTATAAAAATAGCCATTCTTTTTATTCTTCTTCTTATTATTATTATATCACCAGTTTGACTCTGTATCTGATACTTTACATGAGTTTTTAGATCATTTGTTAAAAATATGAGAGCAACTTAGTTTCTTTTTTAAGTGGTGAACAGTAACAAAAATATTTTTCAACTTGCCTCACCTTAATCTGAAACTCAGAGGAAAAATGAGGAAACAATTGCCCATGTGTCCTTGGCATGTCCCTCCCCAGAATGAGTCACTGAAGACACTCTTGGTTGTTGGAACTGTTTTACTCAGTTCAAGAAGAGGCTAGTGGAACCGAAATTCATGGGAAAGTTGGGTCATTGTGCACAAAGGAAATGGTAATTTCATATATTAGTCTCAACTCTTGCCAGGCATTTTGCAAAGACCTATCTTTATTTTTCATGGGGCTTTGGTGAGAGGCTATGTGGCTGATTCATTGCAGACCACAGCTATTATAGGGTGTACATTCCAGCTGATGGCGGTTGGTGACATCTTTCCACCTGTTAGTGAATTCTGGTCTAGCTATTGGGGCATATGGTATAAATTAAGCTTGATTTTGCCCTTGGTGAGGTTTCAATCTAGCAAATGAATAGTGTTGTGTTCTAAAAAGGAACTTTGAAAGTGACTTGAGTCACAGAGAACATTTGACCTAAGATTCTGAAATTCTAGTTCTGACTTCTCTACTAACTAGCTATGGAACTTCAGATATATTATTTATTCAGGACCTCAATTTCTTCATATTTAAAATCAGGAAGTTACTTTATATTTGGACTTTTAATATAATACTTAGTTTTGCATGTATTTGTGTTTTTCTAAATGCTAGATTCTTTCTCAGGTTTCGTCACAAGTCAAAATTTCTTGTGACAGCAGATTTTGGTACTTAATGATAGTGGGGGAAGGAGTAGTTTCAAGATATGACCTAAGTTCGCAAAATAGTTAATGTCTACAGCAGGGAAAAAAACAAATGACCAAATGACCTGACTGTTGTGACTGCTACAGAGCTATGTGAGTATATATAAATTCATTTTCACACCGACATTTACTTTATCCAGCTCTAATGCACTTGCTCTATTCATTAAAGGATTTGTATATTTTTGTATAAACTACATAAACAAATATGCAAGACATTGCATATAAATATATGGCATAACTGGATTATGAAAGCTGTATTTGGCCTTATATCATGTCTCTACTTAAATTCTCAGTTCCCACATAGTTAAGAGTATCCCAAATAAAATTCGAGTTTGTTTTATCATTCCAGAAATTATGAAGTATTTATTACAAACCAGTATTTTAAAATCTGCATTGAAATTAAATATTGGTTTAAATAGTAATAAAATAAGAGTAAATGCTAAATAGTGTTATTACTTATTAATTACTTTTTTTCAAATTCTGACCTCTATCCTCTTAAACCCAGGGGTATCTACATGAAGCTGATGCAGAAAGACATATAGGAAAGAAAGTAAACTAAAAACTTTGGAATATTTGTACTTTTAGTCATTTAGATGTTATGGCAGCTGGCAAATAAAAGAGCTGTTATTGTCTCAGAGTACAAGCAATGCCCTAATTTCTCCAATGTGCTCATGGTTCTTGAAATCACATAATGGTGGCGAAAGCTGTCTGGTCATACCGCTTCTGAGGCTGAGTGGACGCAAGCACAAGGATGAGGTGCGGCTTCATTGCTGTTTTCTCTTCATTAGGCCAAGGAAGGCCATGCGATTGTGTAGGTCATTACTCAACGCGTGCCTACGTGTCACTCCACCTGGTCGTGTAGTGGTTTCTAAACTGGCAGTTCATAGCTGCTGAGATACTGTCATCCCCAAAGAAAAGTGTCCACCATAGCTCTGTCCCTTTATGCCCTTTTCTCAAAATCCTTCTTGCAGCTTTTATCACTTTAATTATTCTATGGGTTGAAATGCTCTATTCTTGACTATCTTTTTGTGGACCAAAGGAATCATGTGTCACATAGGTGGTTTGTCTTATGCTTCATTGGTTCATTATAACTTGAGACAATACATAAACAAATTTCTTTTCATCATGAAACATACACAAGATTTTCTTTTCCATTTTTTTCTCGCTAGTAATCCCTCCCTCTCCTACCAAATATTTAGGATCACTTTTACAATTGAATGAAGATGTCATTAGGCTTTTAGAGCCATTTCTTCAAGAAGATGCTTCTTTTGTGTATGAAGGTTTGGATAGAGTTCGAGGACTGCTGAAGCTACTTGCTCACCTTGCCAAACTCATAGCAGTTTTAGTCTCAGTTGCTCTGTTTTCTCCTCACCTCTTAGGAAATGGGCAGTTAGTGGCTTTGATTTTGTTTTTTTTCTCCTTAATACAGATATGCAAGTGTGTGACTGTAGACAGAGAGAAAGGAAATGTTTACACATGTAGCAAATAAATAACCAAATCTGGTGTGTGTGTGTGTGTATGTCCAGCTCTATAACTGGACAGGTGGTGTGTTTTTCTCTTATGCTGCCATGCATTTATACATTTAATTAGGAGGCTTTAGCATCTCTGACAGTACTTAATTGTGTAGTCTCAGCAGTTTTTTGAGGAGGAGAAAGAGGGTTCAAAGGAATCTCACTTTGTGGATCTGTGGTTTAATATTATGATATTTCTGGGAAACCAGGGTTCTGGAAACAATTTCAATTACTAAGGTTCTCCATTGCTTCAGGAGTGAAGAAATGGGCAAAGGGA